TTAAGCACACTGTGATCTATTACACGAAGCTCAGGGTGGAATTTTTTTCTACTTGGGACTTCATGTCAGCATGCAAAAAGTTTTGGATACTGAAGCATTTTGGACTTTTAGGTTAGCTTGCAGTTTTCCTCTATGTGAATTAATTCAATACCTTTCTGACTGTACTGGGTACAGAATCACCTGGCCTTCCCGGGTCCTTCAAGCATCTGTATAAACCCTTCTTTCTTTTCTCTTTGATCTGTGAAGAGTATGACTTGGAGTCAAAAGAGGACTAACTATCAGCTCACAGTCTCCTCCAGCCAGGCCAGTATTTGCTTGTAAGGGAACTCCCAGCTCCCCGGGCCACATCTATAAACCCAGTCTGACAAACCCGATCTAATCTGATCGTTCCTTGGCAACCTCCTTCATCATCCCCACTCATTTCTGCAAATTCTAGGGCTGGATCTGCCCTCTCTGGTCACATGGGACAAGATAAAGCTTAATTCTACACTAAGTTCTAAAACCAGGTGGACAAGGTCATGCTCTCCCGTAGGCCTCAGAGCCTACTTCTCTCCCAAGTTTAGGCACCCAGGTCCAGCAGCATCCTGGCTGCCAGGCTTCAGTCACATTCCAGGTCTTCCTTGAGACACTCTTCCTAGAATTGAGCCAGGTGTGGCCAGTCCAGGAGGAAAGGGAAGGGCAAGCTTCCAAGAGCAACCAACTTCCAGCCTGGCTGCTTTGATGCCTTCCCTTTCTCTCCAGTATTTATGGAACATGTGGGAGGTGCTGGGCAATGTTCTCAGGGCTGGTAACTCAGCAGGGAGCTGCTGCCCAGATCCTTGCCTTTATGGAATTTACTTTCCATGGAGACCCAGGAAGCCAATGAAGGAGCCTGCCACACCTAGCATAAGATGGGGTGGAACACAGGGAGGCTGTACTGGATGACAGTCAGGGGACAGTTGGTTGGAGGGGGGATCCTTGTGGATTTCTAGGGGAAGAGCTTTTTGGTCAGCGATAACTGCAGAGGCACCAAAGCAGGTGCACACCGGGGGGTATTCATGAACAGTAAAGACCCTGGGTGGCTGGGAGCCTGGCCATGGGCAGGGGGCAGATATGCAGGGCCTTGCAGGATGATGGCTTTTAGTGGGGAGCTACTTAAGCAGGGTGATAAGAGGCAACGATGGATGTTTCTCACACCTGTCTGGCAGAAGGAGATGTTCCACAGAGGGATGGTCAGGATTGTGGTATGACAACGTGAATGATATTGAAATAATCCTTGACATAAAAAATAAAGCATTTTTAAAAGAATATGCATATTCATTTGATTAAGTTTGAACAACAACAAAAAAATCCCTTTTGACTAGGTAGAGAAGTCTAGTGTGGCATAAGGGATGTGGTATGGATCCAAGATTAGTACTGAATTTCAGTTTCACAACATGCTTATTTTATCTTCATATGGTAGATGAGAAAACCAAGGCTCAGAGAGATTAAGTTGCTTATTAAAGGCCACACAGTAAATGACAACATTTGCCTACACCCCTATGTCCAGCAACTCGAGTTCAAATTATACCACTGAACTCTTACTCACACAGCTTCAGCTTACCTGGACCTACTTTTCTGACTACTTATAACCAAGTTAGATCAAGCCTGAAGACCTTTATGTAAGTTGTTAGGCTGCATCTTGCTACCCTGTATTAGTACCCTGTTTTTTTGGTTTTATTTGTCCAAGGAATCAAACTCAGGACATTGTGCTTGTGCCACTGAGCTATATATCCTTGGCCTACCCAAGTTTTTATTTTTATTTTTATTTTTTCAGTCTTGGGGATTGAACTCAGGACCTTGTGCTTGCCAGGCAGGCACTTAAACCACTGAGCTATAACCCAGTCCACCCTGGTGTTTTTGATTCAAAGTCAAATAGTTCTGTTTTTATATTCCAGCATTCTATTTTCTTTTCCTAATTTCTCATCTGCTATATGAAACATTTCTCTTTTCAGAGCAAGACATATCCCTTGCTTATTTCTAAAGACCTAGTTCAAGCCTCAAAACACAGATGTAAAAGTGTCACTGTCCACTGTTTTACCATGCTCCTACTTTGGTATCTGCATGTGTGGGGTGTGTGTGTGTGTGTGTGTGTGTGTGTGTGTGTGTGTATGTGTATGTGTGTATGTTACAGTTTGTGTCTAGTTGTCACCCAGCAGCCTCATGCAGTCATGGGGCAGCTTCTGGAGTCTGTGATTGGTTATTGTGGGTGTGGATGCTGCATCCAACCTGGGCCAGGTAATTAGCATTATAATGTAAGGAGGGGAGAGAGGCTGGCTAGCTGCCTGGGCTCCTCCACTCCCTTTGCTCCTGCTCCTTGTGGCCACCATGAAGAGTTGTCCTTTGCCATGTGCCACTCTGCCTTGGAGCCAGCTGAGAATGCACTGAAACCTCCAGTAACTGTGAGCTCAATAAACCTATCCTTGCCTAATTTTGAGTGTCGGGTATTTGTCCCAGCAATGAGAGAAAAGTAACAGACAGTGTGCTACTGGGGAGTGAACCTAGGCCTTTATGCTAGCTACATCCCGCACCTATTTTTATTTTAAATTTTGAGACAGTCTAAGTTATTAAGCTGACCTGGCTGGGAATGAACTTGAGATTCTCCTGCCTCAGCCTCTAACAGTGCTTAAATTATAGTCATGCACCACCAGTAAAGCTATGGAGTACTGCTCTTCAAGCCCTTGGGAGCAGGGAGAAGGTGATTCTTGGGATTACACAGTGCTCTGCATGAACATCTTCTGATTAACAACTGTGTGTGATTACTAGAAGCCTGGACTGCTCTACAGCTGGGGATACAGCAGCTTGCTGTCAGCCATGGCATGTGTGTGTGTGTGTGTGTGTGTGTATCTGCACAAGTGTACCCAACATGCATGCATGTACACCTACAAACCCAACACACAGATTTTACAGAATCACAGCAGGCAGTATCTCTAAGAAAACTAAAGCAGGAAATAAGAGGAATTCAGGAGATGGTAGAATCATAATTTTAAATAAGGTGCATAAGGAAGGCCTCAGTAAGGAGGGAAATCTCAGTGGGTGGCAGGGAGCCAGGAGCAGGGAGAGCTCACCCCAGGCCAAGCTAGAGGAGTTACAGGATTAATGAATGATGGTGCCTGAGTTCTGCCAGGTGCCTGTGCTAAGTCCATTAATGTCATTGCCATCTGAGACCAGTGGGGGCTATTATGCTGCCACTTTAGTCCACAACTGCAGCGCCGTCTCTTGCTTGGAACACTAGAGTACCATCCCTTTAAAACACGAATTACATATTGCAACACTCTGCCTTCCCCAGAAAGCCCTCAGTAATGGTCCATCCACACCTACTCTGTCCCAGCTCCATCCCAGCTTGCAGGCCCTCTAGCAGCTGTCCTCAGCACTCCTACCCTTCCAGGTGGTCACTTCGGCCACCTTCTCACCATCAAACACTGCTGGCTCTCTCTAAAGCACAGATCACCACCTGAAATTATCCTGCTGGTTTTACAAGACGGATTTGCATATTTTCTGGCTTGCCTTTAAGTCCTGGCACATGGCAGATCTCTATAAATGCTGGTTAAAAAAGTGAATGAAAGAGATGGTAAGCAGCTCAATAAAAGTTACTCTTAGTAAGGGGTCAAGTTCATCAGCAAAGGTTGAATCTAAAACCTCAAATCTTTTCTGAGGTTCATTTAAACCATGCAGACGGGGAAAGGGTGGATCCATCTGATCCAAGCAATACAAATGTAAACATCTGCAAAGTGATTGTCTAGCACAGGGCTTCTTACCATTTCTCTGCCACCAGCCCCCTTCCCAATGGGACAAAAGCTACAGACCCTTCTCAAAAATGCCATTATGAGCACAAAACACATAGGAACTACAAAGGAAACCAATTACACTGACATATAAGTAATACAATGACTGCAAATCAAATTTGGGATGCAGTATTATGTGTATTTTTTTATATTCAAACAAGACGTAAACGATGACAAACCTGTGAGTACCGGTTTGTATGGTCTGCTATGGTCTGTTGATTACATTCATGATTGAGGAAATGCTACATGTCAGCCAGAGATTAGTGAAAATCATTCTGTGGCTCACTTCCAATCCCAGTTTGCCCTGCCTTCTCCTGAGAGATCCCTGAAGCTGGTGAGTACCCCCGGACTGCAGGCGAAAGGACTAGACAGTTCTCTTGGCCTTCAGAGCCCAACTCCAACACAGTACTTTGGTAGCATGTGTAAGCATTTTGAACAGAAGTGTTTCTGTATCAGTACTCTACAGAAGTCTAGAGCACTTTGACTCTTGTGCCAACTCACCTATTTATTCAGACTTTCTGGGAAATTAAAACTCTAGGAAGCAAAGGAAACTGAGAAAATCAACTGTTACCTTATTTAAAGAAAAACAACAACAAGAACAAGACAGGGGTTATGGAAACAGACATTCCACCAACTGATTTAAGGTTTTACTCAATCATAAACAAAATTTCTTAAGTACCACCTTATCTACGTAAGTGCGACTTACAGCTACCTATGTGTAGGTGTTGAAATTACAGGCTTCCTTTCATCATTAAGAGAGTGGTATTAAAGGCTGGGGATGTAGCTCAGTGGTAGAGCACTTGCCTAATAACATGTGTGAGGCCCTGGGCTCTATCCTCAACACTGAAAAAAAGTGCTATTCAAATTTGCACATGGAAAAATATTTAAATATAAGCATGTAGGTTAAGATTACCAAACAGTTTCAAAGATGGACCCACCATGCTATTACTAATGCCACCATCTGGCAAGAAGTCTCTTCTCACACACGACTCAGCTTAGCATAAAGCACCTCAGAGGTTGAGTTGGGATCCCGATTCTCTGGAAGGCAGGGTTCAAGTACCACCCACGCTAGCAGCCCCACACCATGAGGCAAGCAACCTGTCACTACCTGGGCCTGCACGTCTGTGAATGGGAATGACAATGACATTTTCTTCACACGGTTCAAAGAGTGAGGGCACCGCTGTACATAACAGTCATCATCTACACACTGGTGCTTAGTCTGGTGGCTGCTGTGGCCAAAGAAGGACTAAGAGCCCTTCTGTGTCCTCAGCCAGTAGGACATTGGGATTCATTTATTTATTTAGGTGGTACCAGGGATCAAATTCAGGAACTTGCCCTTGCCAGGCAAGCACTTATTCCACTGAGCTATCTCCCCAGCCCCTAGGTTATTTGATTTTATTTTCTGACTATCAGAATGACAAGCACATTTTTTTTTTTTTTTTTTTTTTTTTTTTGCAGAAACAGGGATTGAACTCGGGTCCTTTCGCTTGCCAGGCAAGTGCTTATTCCACTGAGCTATCTCCCTGGCCCCATAAGCACATTGTTAATGGAGGGCCTGAAAAATACAGAGATGTGTATGGGAGTCATCACTCTCACCTCCATCTGATTCTAGCTGCCTTTCAATGTAAATAGGAGTACTAAGTTTCAAAGGAGAATAATATACTTTGTTTTTTGGAGACATTTCCAGTTTTGAAGTAAATGTTCTTTTTTTTTTTTTGTCCTAATAAAAATGTGTTTCATTCTTAGCCTTGATTTGTGATACCCTCTCTAGTACTTTTATTTTATTTTTTTGCAGTTCTGGGGATTGAACTCAGGACCTTGGGCTTGCCAGGCAAGCACATATTCTACTGATCTATCTCCTTGGCCCTCTATTACTTTAGAAGTATTTAAATTTAAGGAAAATCAACAATAGCCACTCCACAGTACTTGAATGCCATGTGAAGATCTATTCTAGAATTCTAGAAGAAGAAAAAGGTGTGCATTATTTCACAATATATTCAAAATTACAAGAAGTCCTAAGAGTACCAGTTATTACAGGAATGATTAAGGGAAAGAGCCCTAGGTGCTTTCTTGGCTGGCATAGACCTCCAGTCCTGACAAAGAGACGCAGAGGTGCAGTGCTGATTTTAAGTGTGCTCTGAACCCAGGGATGCTAGTACATTTTCTACAATTTAGAAAATACTTTTTATAAAGTAGGAAAAGACATCTGCAATCAAATCTTATTAAAATGACACTGAATTTTATTTAAAAAGAGGCTCATCTCAGTTACTCTTCTCTCCTTGCTGGGACAAAATGAAGGAAGGAAAGGTTTATATAGCTCACAGTCAGTGTAGGTTTCAGTCCATACTCAGTGGGCTCCAAGGCAGGGTGGCACTGGGCAGAGAGCAGCAGTTCATGGCTGAGGCAAAAAGCAAGAGAGTGCAAAAAGGGATTGGCAGTCATAGCTAGCTAGCTTCTCTCCCCTCTTACACTGTAATGCAAATTACCTGCCCCAGGGAAAGAGTAGCACCCACAAGCACAATAATCACAAACTGCAGAAGCTGCCCCATGACTGCATGAGGCTTTACAGGGACTACTAGACACAAACCATAACAAGCCTTTAAGCAATGGGTTTGGCCAATGTCTTTCATATTTATTTTTCTTCTCAGCACCTTGTTCTTTACTGTACCTCAGAAGGACATCCTTCTCCCTCTTCAGTGTTAACACCTGATAGATCATTCTCTGTCAGCGTGATGCTCAAGCCTGTAATCCCCACACTCAGGAGGCTGAGGCAGAAGACTGCCCCAGTACAAGGCTCGTTTGGAGAAAACAGATAAAAATCTAGAGAAAGACCTGTCTAGAAAAAGAAGGGCAGGTGGTTAAATCAGCTTCGAGGAATCTTCATACTGGGTCTCTTTGCTGTCTGTGGACCCAGGACCGGGCTGTATTTAAAAATCCATGATTATGGGGTTGGGGAGACAGCTTAGTAGAATAAGCACCTGCCTGGAAAGTATAAGGTCCTGAGTTCAATCCCTGGTACTGCAAAAATAAATAAATAAATAAATAAATAAAATAAAAAATAAATAAAAATCCATGATTTTTACACCGAGGACTCAACCCACACGCCCTTGAGCATACTTGGAGATAGCTTGCTCTACCAGAGAGCTAAATCTTAAAGGCGTTAATAGCGTAAATGTTTAATCCATCAGAAACTGTATCAGATTCCTTCCAATTCATTTCTAAATGCCAATTTAGGGTGCATCTCAAAGAGAGAAACACGACGCTCTATTTTTACTATGAACAAAGAGTGTTCATTTGACTCTTCCAATCTCTGTCCTGAACTCAAAGTAGAAAAGCAGGCAAGCAAGCAAGCACAATCTCTGAATGAATGAATTATTTTGGACCAGGCAATTTAATCCTTCTCTGAGTTTGGCCATGAAATTGGTGCAAGCCAGACGGATCGGGATCCGAGTCTTCCTAAAACATGCCATCCCGACCGCCCTGTGACACCACCGTCGCCTGCTTTGTTCTGACTGCGAGGGGTTGGGGAGGAAAATGCGGGAAATAGGGGTGGCAAGCGCGGACCTAACGAATTCCAGGGACCTCGGGTGGGACTGTGAGCCCTGCGTTGTGTGCGCGCGGGAGGGAATTCGGACAGAGGCCAGTCTGTCGTCCGGGGACCAGGCCTAAATTCGGACGTGCTGTTTCCGCGGTACAGCGAGGTCCCCGGCCTGCGGACGCCTCTGCTGCCCCTGCCGGTCGCGAGGAGCAGAGCAGCCGCGGTTACCTCTTGGGGACGTCAAAGGCGCGGTAGGCGGCCGGGCGCGCCGGCTCTGTCAGCTTGGTCTTCCCGTAGCGGATGAGGTCCTGGAAGAGCAAGCACTCCGGGAGCAGGCGGGGCGGCGCGAGCTGCAGCAGCAGGCTCAGCAGGAAGGCGGCGTCCAGCGCCAGCCACACCGCACGCAGCGGGCTCAGCGCCCACAGCGCTTCCACCAGCCCGGAGGCCATAGTTGCAGCAGAGCCGGGCCTGCAGCCCCTTCTGCAAGAAGAACCGCCAGGGGAACGCGCTCGCGCCGGCAGTGCTGGCCTCGCCCAGCTGCCGCCGAGCCCCGCCCAGCCGCCGCCGAGCCCCGCCCAGCCGCCGCCGAGCCCCGCCCCAGTCTCACCCCCCCCCAAGCCCCGCCCAAGCCCGCTTGCTCTTCCACTGCTGGGGATAGCTGATTGAGGGTAAGTAGGTAAGCGGGCGCCAGCCAGACTGCCCCTGCAGTTCTTCAACACCGGATCATTTCCACGGGAAGAGCGGAAGCTTGCCTTACCCTTACTGTTCCTCTTTGATGTAGTGAGCTAGGATGATGTGCACTATCATGTTAGAGTATCGTAGAGCCGCTGGCAGGATAACTATGCAGTTGACAAAGTAAAAGAAAAAACCGCAGGCAATAAATACATGGGATTGCAAACAACTATTAGTATGAACGTGCCTACGCATGAATAAAGAAGCGAGGGCAGACACAAAAATGCACAGGTGTAGCAGCATGTTGGGAATGTGCATACTGTGACTGTGTAAAGTGGAAAATCATCAGAGTATTTGCACATGAAAAAATGAGAGAAGCAGGCATGGTGCACACACTTGTAGCACCAGCAGGGGAGGCTGAGGCAGGAGGATGGAGAGGTGAAGGCTGGCTTGGTGCACATAATGAGGCCCTGTCTCAAAACCACCAAAACCAAAATGGAGCAACAACAATAACAACAACAAAGCTTTGAAAGCCCCCAAATAAAAACGTAGGGAGCTAATAAGCAGTAGTCTACTTCCCGCTAGAGCTCCAGTCCTAGAGGCAAAGTTAGCTTGGTGAGCCATTTTTTCTGATGCCTGCTTCCTTGTACTGGCCATTTCTTGGCTCATCAGTTTTATTTTCTTTTAACACGAAGGTAATCTATAAACAGAAAACAATTTGAGCCTTGTTCACAGAGGGCGACCATGGCGACCTCCCTTCCTGCAGGTTCTGTCAGAGGGGATGGGAGTGACATCCTCAGTCCTCCTGATCTTTGTTCCCGAGCGAGCGAGCGCTCTCAGAGCCGACTGTGCACCAGGCCCAGGGGTCTTAGTCCTGCTTCCGCCTGTGCCCCAGAGTTTGATATGCAGGGCGGTGATGCCCAACTCCCTGCACCTCTGGGCCGCATCCTGGCAGCCAACATGGCAGTGGATGGGGAGGATTCATCTCGATCAGCCTTCACCTTCATCCCACCAGTCACACGAGGAATCGTTTCCTTGCCAGAGAGATCAGTGACATGGACGAAAGTATCATTGAAGGATGCAAAGATGTGACAGACACCAAATACATTCTCTCCTTCAGCCACTTGAGGCCTGAGGCTGATGACCTTTTCTTCCTTCTTTTCCTTCCCCTTGCGAGGTGCCATTTCTGCTGGTCATCTCCACACTCAGCTACCAGAAAGAGGGCTCATCAGTTTTAAACAGTATTGATTTTCTGTCATGCTAAGCGAAAATGAAACTCTCTTAGATACTTTAAAAAGTCTTTAAAATGTTAATTTCCAAAAGTATTAGTGTATGCCTCCTGAGTGGCAGGCACCGTTGTGGACGTTAAGGCTGGGGAGGATTGGGAGAGGATTGGTGTTGGCTTCAGGCTTGAGATAAGGTGGGAGGATGGGGGACAAGCAGCCAACATCTCACCCTTACTCTGGTGAGAAAGTCTGCCCATGAGCTGAGTATACCTCAGGGAACTATGTGGACCAGATAGTGGGACTGGAAAGATCTTTTAGATTGTTTTTTCTTTTCTCTTGTCTTTATTTTTCAGATTAGGGACCAAATGCAGAGCCCCCTACATGCTGCACAAGTGCACTGCCACTATATTGCCAGGCTTCTTTGGAAGTTGACCGCAGGGTTTTAGAGGCTTGCTTTTTTGTTCAAGGGTACCTAAGGCTTTACAGCTAGGCATTCTATCTAGGACAGATTTAGTGGTACCAAACTGCAAACCCACTTGTGTATCAAAACCGAATACTGGAGTTTTAATTTAGAAAAAACAACCCAGATATTAATGTCTTTTGTCTTAAAAGAGAACACAGTAACACACTTGTGATAAGTTTGCCACCATTGATCTAAGGTAAGGAGGCCTTCCTGTGTGATTCATGATCTCTTGTGGAGGAGTCACCCTTTGTTGTTCCTCTATTATTCTTGGGTGAACTCCATAAAAATGCCCCTGGCCTTTCTGTGGCACCTTTTCAGAGAAGTCACTTTGCAGTGCATTGTAAGGACTGAGTGTCCTGGGCAAAAGGTTTTTATGACTTGGAGAAAGATTCAAAACAAATGGGGAGTGGACCTGCCCAGTAGCTCAGTTGTTTAAGTGCCTGCTTAAACAAAGCCCTCAAGCTCAAGCTTCTGGGGTTCCAACCCAGACAGTCACTGCAAACCAGAAATGCCCTAAAGGCATTTCGAGCCTCCAAAAAACAAAAAACAAAAAACAAAAAACAACCCTTCTACCAGGGGGCTTCTCTGGCAAGCGCAAGGGCCTGAGTTCAATCCCCGGTTCCGCCAAAAAAAGAAAAAAAAAAAAAAAAAAAAAAAGAACAAAACAGATGGGGAGGGGGTGTGTGAGTGTGTGTGTGTGTGTGCGCGCGCGCGCGTGCGCGTGCGCATGCATACGTGAGTGTGTGTTGGAAATAGAAAAGGTTGAGGATAGAGTAAAGTTAGGCCTTATGTTTTGGCTTGGACTTTAGTCAGAATGCAAGTTTATATCCAGAGAGGCTCCATAGGGTATGGATGCAGCCACAGGGTGAACAGAGGTCGTGACTCAGATCCTAAGGAGAGCATCTGTAAATGTGTAGATTCTTAAGGGAGTGAGTTATTTCCAATGTTGAAAACCAGGCTAAAGTCTATTTGAATGGTCATTGCTAGTCAGCATCAGCCAATGCTTTGGCCTTCAATTATTTAGCACCATTAAGTGGTAATGACATTCAGACCCAAAACTTTGACCTCAGACTTGATTCCTGTCTTTCTCTCATGGCCTCCGCATAACCTGTCAGCAAATATTGGTTGTTCTGTCTTCTACATGTAAATCCAAATGGAATCACTCTTAGAGTACAGTGGTCCCTTACTGTACTCTTTCTCAGAAGTCATGTTCTGCTCCCATGATAAGTGAAAATCAGTGAAGTCATGTTATATTTATATGTATTTTAAGGCTTTATGAACCCTTCCCACACTCTTACAAACCTTTACTACACTTTTAAAAACATTTCTAAGGGCTGGCCAAGTAGCTCAGCTTATTAAAGCACCTGCAAGGAGGCAGAGGGGCCAGGGGTTCAATCCCCAGGCCTGCCATTCTGGCCCTGCCCCTGGGGTGTGCTGAGCCAGCAAAGGAGTCCAGGCATAGTGGCGCACACATATAATCCCAGCTTTTGGAAGGCTGTAAACAGGAGGATCACTACGAGTCCAGTCTAGTAGTGAGACTCTGAACATCCTGTAGACACTTCCCTAAAATACAAAAAACAAAACAAAACAAAACAAAAACCTAACAAATAAACAAACAAAAAATACATTTCTAATGTTCTTAACCATTTTCTAAACTTGCAAACCTATGTAATTTTAACAGCATACATATACTGTACAGCACTGTAAAATTCTATGATATAGCAAAAAATCCTCGATAAATAATTTAGATTAATATTTTTTGAAAACCCTGCAAAACAGTGAGTCTGCAAAAGTCAAACCACAAAATAATGAGAGACTGCTGCACTTAAGGGCCTCAAAATACTGAACATCCTAGACCATATCAGTGCATAAGAAAAAGAAATAAAAAGTGTGAGGATTGCAAAATAAGGAACAAAACTATCACTATTTGAAGATAATACTAAACTCTAATGATAGACACTTAAATAGGGTCTCCAGATAAGCTGTTGGGACTAATGGAGGCATTTGGTGAGGTTGCTGGACACAAAAATCAATTTATAAATATTGATTTATCTATGTTCTTATGTCACTGGGAAGATAAACTCTTCACTTCCTTGGTCCTCCCTTCTCTGTGCCCTTGCTAAAGGAATTCAATCAAGAGACACAGGTGGCCATGCTAAAATATAGGTAGAATGTAATGGAAAGTAAATAAAGACTTACACCTTCAGTTGAGAAGGCATAGAGGGCCACAAAAACACCTGTGCGAAGTGTGAGGAGAAAACAGGTTACTTTCAGAGCTTGGGAAACTATGACAATTATCACTGTTCTGTTTACACAATGTATATGCTTATTGGCATTTCTCTTAGTAGTTACTTTGGAGCGTCAATATCTCAAAAATGTCTTCCTCAGGGCTGGCAAGACAGTTCAGCAGACTAAGCGCCTACTTTGGCAAGTGCAGGAACCAGGATTTGATCCTCCTTCCTGCATGCTGCGCTGGCCCCGCCCCCAGAGCATGCTGAGCCAATGAAAGAGTCCCGGAGTTGGGGAGGCTGAAAACAGAAGGATCATTAGTGAGACCCTATACCAAATACATAAGTGAAAAAAAGAAATATAAAAATGTCTTCTTCATTTCTTTCAGGTGGTCAGTATTCACTCTGAAAGGTAAGAATCTAAATCAGGTATCAGTCCAAGGAGGCAGGGTCGTTAAAGTATGCTCCCCCTTCGGATAGAGTTGGGTACAGATCATGACTCCCAGGAATAGTGTATGCCTTGGTTTGGAAATAGATGGCCAGGTGGCTAGGTATAGGAAGGCACAATGTGTACAATGTTAACATAATTGTGCTCTCTGGGGTTGCTTTTGTCTGAGACCTAACAAAGGTTATAAGTGTATTATATGTTGAAGCCTGTTTCTTTACTTAACTATAACTGATAAAGCATGGTATTTTAGGCACCTTTCTCCTTTTGTTCCTCAGGGCCACTAATGTTTAACTACCTGTCTAAAATTTCCACTTCCAAGAATTGGTACCCTGAAATCCTTTAGGATATTGGGATACATTCAAGTTCTGGCTACTTCTTTCTGGGAGGGGACATTGCAAGGAGAGACTTAGGGTTTCCTCTCTTGGTGACTTTCAGACTCAGTAGGTACGTCAAGGGTTCTGATATGCCTGGTTGGACCAGAAGA